CGATGCTGTCGTGCAGAGCGTAAAAGTCAACGGCAAAGCATACAAGTCTAACTGCTACCTCGAATGGGACGTCTTCACGAGCGGCTCTACGGTCGAGCTGGAATTGACGGACGACATCAACGTCACCTGCGGGAGCGGAAAGTCGGCCCTGCCGCCCTCGATCTCCACCGGCGGCTACGACTAGCAGGCGCAGAGCAGCGCAAAGGGATTTTCGTGTACATGAATGTAAATCACTCTATGATCATCAATGGTTATTGCATTGCTAGTAGCGCTACGGATGCGATTGGATACAGAACTTGAGACGAGCGCTATAACTAGTCGGGAACAGAGAGAGAGCTATGTAGCGGTTGGTAATTCGTTAATCGATCGCAGCAAGTGAATGTTCGAGTGGGAAGTGCATTATCTAGTAGCGGTGCGCGTGTTGACCCTCTTGCCCTTCGCGTCCAGCTGCGCGTGCGGCGCCCGGAACGTCGCCTCGTCCGCGTCGAACGAGCCAAAGAACGGTGTCGCAGGGCTGAACGCCGCGGTAGACGAGCGCGACGAGTACGTGAGCGCGGGCGAGACGAGCGGAGGGGACGCCTGCTCGAGGTCGATCGGGGCCTGGGGCGGGGGCTTGGACGAATACATAAGGTGCGGCGACCCGCCGTTATGGCGAGCGCCGCGCTCGTCGTGATAAATACCGTTGTTGCTGTTGCTGTTGTTGCCGAGACTGTTGCTGTGCATGTGCATCGTGGAGTTGTTATTAGCTGGCGCGGGGCGGATCGTCGTCGTGGTTCTAGCGTTCCCGGGGCCGGAGAGATTGTGCTGGTGCTGGTAGTGATGCGTCTGTTGGTTCGAGAGTGACTGATTGCGCGCAGGGGCATGAGGGCCGAATTCGTGGGTCTGGTTCGGGTTCTGAGCGCGGACGGAAGGGAGATACTGTTGCTGCTGCTGTTGCTGAGACGAATGGCGAGAAATGCGAATACCGGAACTGTTGCTGGAGCTGTGAAGGCCGTGCGCGCCAGCGCCGTCGAGCTGGTTCATGATGCGATCTCCGGTGTCGAACGGGCGCTGCATCTGGTGCGCGGCGTGGAAGTCGTCCTCCGCCATCAAGCCCGGCGCCTCGCGCTCGAAGCCGTGCGCGTGCGCAAACGACAGCGTCGCGGCCTGCGCACGGTACCCGCGCACGCCCATGCCGATGTTCACCGCCGCCGCCCCCGGCGCGTCGTGCTCCACGCCCTGCGCCGCGTGCAGATCGAGCGGGACCGGCCGGCGCTTGCCGCCCGCGTGCTGCTGCAGCGAGTCCGACCGCGCGCGCAGGATGAACTCCTCCGTCGGCGTGTACCCGCCCGCCTGCGCCGCGCCGCCGCCGCCGCCGCCGAGCCCCAGGCCCCGCGGGACGAACGGCCGCACCCCGAGCGACAGCGCCGCGAGCTGCTGCTGCTGCTGCTGCTGCTGCTGCAGCGCGCGGTAGTCCGCCCCGGCATCCGGCGCGTAGAGCTGCTCGCGCCCGCGCTGCGCCTGCGCCTGCGCCTGGAGCGACTCGAGGAGCGACGCCATCGCGGGGTTCATGCGCTGCGCCTGCGCCTGCGTCTGCTGCTGGCCGAACACGCCGCGGTGCGGGAAGCGCGCGGGCCCAGGCCCAAGGCCAAGGCCCGGCGCGCGCGAGTAGTCGACCTCGAACGCGCGCCCGTGCGCGGCGTTGCTCTGGAAGTCGAACTCGTACCCCTCCTCTTCCGCGCGCGCCGCCTGGAACTCGCGCTCGCGCTCGTCGACGTGCACGCGCTTCGGCCCCGGCGCAGAGCCGATGACCGGGGGGCGGTCGCCCAGCGCGCCGCCGCGCAGGTTGAGCAGCGTCGCCTGCGCGATGCTGAGCTGGCCCGACGGCTGCCCGTGCTCGTCGTCGCGCGCGGCGCGCTCCTGGCGCTGTATCCGCGTCCACGCCGTCAGCACTCGAACCCAAAATTAAAAGCAAAAGCAAAAGTAAACGCAAAGCAAACTCAAACCAGTACGATGATCGGATCAAACGCAACGCAACGGTCAGAAAGGCCAGAAGCAAGCAGGCAAACGAACGAACGAAGCAAGGCAGGACGGACGGACGAAAGGGAAGAGCAAGAAGAACCGAACCGAAACGAAACGAAGCGACGGCGAACTCACCCTGAGCTCGCGCTGCTCCGCCGTGTCCGCGAAGCGCACGGAGATGCGGCTCCCGGGGTCGTTCCACCCGCGCACCATGCGCCCGTGCAGCCGCTCGATGATCTCCTCCGCCGCCGCGCGCGTCTCCAGCCTGTGCGGGCGCGTCCGCGCGCGAGTGAGCCGGCGACGCGGAAGGGGGGGCAGCGGAAGGGGGGCACGTACCGCACAAACGCGATGATCCGCGGCGGCGTGCTCAGCCGCGTCTGGAAGAACCGGCTGCTCCGGATCGCGTACGGCGACACGAGCGCCGCGAGCGTCTGTCCGCGCCCCGTCAGCCCGCGTCGTGCCGAAAGAACGAGCGAAAGAACGCGGCGCAGCGCGCACTCACCGCGTCGTCGATGCTCAGCGGCAGCCTGCACGCCAGCACCGTCAGCCCGTGCAAGAAGAGCGCGAGGGAAAGAGGAAAGGCCGGCGACGCACCCCTCGATGTACAGATTCGTGCTCGCGCGGTCCGAGAGGCGCTCCATGCGCGCCTTGAACGTGGAGTCGCCGCTGCCCGCGCCCTCGCTCTCCTGCTCCCACCCGTTCAGCGAGGACGCCGCGCCGCGCCCGTGGTCGGAGGACGGCGCGGACGAGGCGGAGGCGGAGGCGGAGGCAGAGGCGAGCGCGGGCCGCACGTGCGAGTACACGGTCCCGGGGATCTTGTGCACCTGCTGCAGAAGGCGCCGCTCATCCGCAGGGACGTTCAAAAACCCGGACAAAGCACACACCTTGGAGAACGTCGGGTGCAGATTGCGGTAGCGCCGCAGCGAGTTGATGCACCGCTCCGCCGACGCGATGTCGTCGAACCTAACGAACGAACGAAAAAAAAAACGCGCGCGCGCAAGTCAGCAACCTGCTCGCACCCGCACGAAAAAAAAAAAAAGCAAAAAAAAAATGCGACGCACAAAACGAACCCGTACCCCGTCTCCGCGTCGCCGACGTGGCGCGTGAAGCTGCGCACGCTGCGCACTGAGCCGAACGGTGCCGCGAGCGCGAAGAGCTGGTCCTCGGGGAAGTTCGGCGGGAGGCCGTTGATATACACGTTCGGGGTCTTGTCCTTGTCCGCGAGCGCGTGTGTGGGCGTAAGATTGGACTGGAGGGCGGTGGTTTGTGAAGCGGCTGTGGGGTTCGTCGGGGCCGTGGTCGCGGATGTGGAGACGGAGCTCGGCGGCGAAGCAGGGAGGGGCACGCGAGCCGGGATCGCGGCGGACGGATGTTGGGAAGGCAGGTCGATGTCGATGTCCATTTGGCCGGGCTCGAGTTCTACGTGCAAACGCATTAACCGACGTACGGGGTCGTTGAGAGCACATACCTTTGGAAGCGGGCTGCTCGCCGACTACGATCTCCCCGTCCTCGAGGCCATGCGCCAGCGCGGAATGCTTGGGTTCAAAGTCGTGCACGGCCGAGTACGCGACGCGCGCCTTGCACTCCGACTTTCTGGGCGGCGACAGCAGCGGAGAGTCGACGAGGGTGGTGGACGAGAACGACGGCACGAGCGGCGACTGCTCCGGGGACGCCGCGGGGTCGAAGGACGGGAACCACGCCGGCGAAGAGACGGATGTCGGGAACGAGTATGACGTGGGCGGAGAAAAGGCCAAAGACGGGACGGGCGGAGGCGGGGCGGGTGGAGAGGCACGGGAAGCAGGAAAGGAAACAGGCGGGGATGCGAGGGCGGAGGCAAGTGTGGGCTGGAGTACGGTAGACAGCGATGGAGAAGACGTGCATGATGGAGCTGTGGCGGCGGGGGCGGCGGCATCGTTGTCAGCGGTACTGGTGCAAGGGGAAGAAGAAAAGGAACGAGAGTGCGAGTCGGGCGGCGGCGTCGGGGGAGCGCGCGGGGAGGAGGTCAGGGTGCTGGTCGCCGTGTGCGGTGGCGAGCGCGACATTATAGGAATGGCAGGCGCGAATAGCAGACGAAATCAGAGGCGAAAGTAGAGCGTGTCGATGTAATAGCGATAGAGGATAAGAATAATGGCGGGGCGGCAAAAAAGCCAGAGCGAGCGAAAGAAACCAGAGAAAACCCCAAAACCTTGTTTATATAACAGCCAGCCCCGCCGCCTCGTGATATCGCCTGATAAATTCAGGTGCCTGACAGCCCTTCTCTTCGCCGTCCCCTCGGTCCGACCCCCGCCGCCAGCGCGCCGCGAAAACAGCAGAAAACGCGAGGATTTCTCGGAAACTTTGCGCGTGGAGGTGGTTGAGACCAAGGAGGGATAAACAAGGAAAAACATACACGGTTTTGCTGTTTTCAACAGTGTCTCTTTTGTCGAGAGAAGCACCAACCTTGAATCGCGCGCGCTTCTTCTCGGTCGCAGGGCTTCCCTTCCATCGAACTTTCCCCTGGAGGGCCTCGCTAGCACTAATTGTGGCTTTTGAATTAAACAGGCCCCAGCACGCGAAAAGTCCACCATTTGCCTATCAGGCGCGACTGGGAGATTCATATAGCATCGGTCAAGCCTAAGCCAGAGCGCAGGCAGCGCTGATGTCCATTCTTTCGCATTCCGAAAGGTGAACCGCGGAAGAACCGGCATCAGCTTCGCTGTCAGAATCGACTGCCGGAGCGTACTCCTCCAATATATTGCAACGCAGGGAAGCACGCAGGCGTGCCAGCGCCAATCCGGATGCAAGGCCCGGTGGGAGCGAGCAAGCTTCCGAGCCCATCGTCATCAGAAATTTTACCTCTCCGGCATTGCAGAGATAACTCGCATTTGTTTCGCGCAAAAAAATCAGGATGGCGCTTGACGTCTGACCGGTATTAAATAATATTTGAACTTTCGAAATCGATGAAGAAAAAAATGAAAAATACTGCCACATGGCAGTGATGGCACTTCGTCCGAGTCGCAGTTCTTGGGAGGGAATCGAACCCCCAGCGGATCATAAAGTGCTGTGCGTCTAGACAGTGTGCACATTTATAGCACAGGTTACCACTACCCCACCAAGAGACAATGCTCTTTGTACGCTACCGCCATACCACTGCCCGAGGAATTGCATTGGCCAGTACTCATGAGGCACGGGTGACGGCACGTGGCTTTAACCCTCCGCTCACTCAAATCGGCAGACAGCCGAAGTCACACCCACACAGCGGCTCGGATGTCGGCTCACGAGCTCAAAGAAATAAACTCAAGCCAAGCAAAATGGAAACACATTCGCGAGATGGGAATGCTTTCGGAGGGAATCGCACCCCAGCATAGCCACAGAGTCTTGCCGGTTGACCCAGCTTGCTACTACCCCACGAAAGCACTGTTATTAATAAGTGTCTGTGCCCATACCCACTGGTAATTTGCACATGAAGTCCAGCTCGACCAAGGCGGCGTTCCAAACGGCCAGCACTTGAACCGTGTCATGTCTCGAGCCCCGACCAAACAAAAAAGGCGGCACAGCCAGCGAATTAATGTTTTGAAAAGGAATCGAACCCCGGCGGTTGGCCAACAAATGATCAGCATGACCATATATGATTTCAAGGTAATGGAAATGGCATCAACCCGGGTTACCAGTACCCCACCAATACCATGCCCCACTCGCAATTTCGCACATATAGAAGGTATCCGTATTCATGATCAAGTATCATATCAGTAGTTACTCGACGCGGGCGGCTGCTTCGACTGAACTAAGTACAGGAACAGTTCAAGTCGAGCAACTTTCAATTCAAATGAAAGACCCAGCATAAGTGCGCGACTGAGAGAAAGCGCAGGGAAGGTGGGTAGGGAAGCCAGTTCGGTTGCACGTCACAGTCACCATTTCAACCTGTTAGGCGGCGGTACCTCTAAACCCGCGACTGAGAAATTCATATATCATTGGACAACCCTGAGCCAGGACGCAGGCAGCGCTGATGTCCATTCTTTCGCTACAAGGTGAACCGCGGAAAAATGATACCGGCATCAACTTCGCTGTCAGAATCGACGCTGCCGAAACGCTTCGACTCCTCCAATCATATATTGCAACACACAAAGGCGTGTCAGCGCAAATCCGGATGCAAGTCCCGGTCGGAGCGAGCAAGCTTCCGAGCCCATCGTCGTGTCCTCTTACAAAATTTACCTGTCGGCCGTTGTAAATGATAATTCAAGAAAAACATGGAGACTCGCGAGACTCGGCCGTACCAATTTGTGACATCAAGAAAAGACATCACTGCATAAAGAACTCATATTTTTCAGGCCGGCGCTTGACGTCTGACCAGCATTAATATTTGAATTTTGGAAATCGAAGAAAAAGAAGTAAATAACGCCAGACCAAATGCTTTGGGAGGGAATCGAACCCCCGGTGGGTCACAGACTGTACCCACATAAGTGACACAGGTTACCACTACCCCACCAAGACATGATAGCAGCTTTGTACCATGTTCGTGACCTGTACGCCAATTTCAGTACACCTCGAGCTCAACGCAGCGGGTCGCCCAGTGACTCGAATATCATATCAGCCCGCTCACGATCAACTGAATCGGGGCCCAGCCCGGGAGCGTACTGATACCGTACTGTTATATCGAGCCTACGCCCAACACGAACAGCAGGCTCGAGAAATAAAAACTGAACTGGGGACAGGCCAACAGTGAACACCATCGCACTTCCCCGGGCCAGGGATTGCATTGCTTGAATTCCCAATACTCAGTCGCCACGAGGCACGGCACGTGGCTTTCATGCCCCCAACTCGAAGTTCGAACTCAAATGGGAAGGCAACTGGAGTCACACAGCGGCTCGGACGTCCGCTCTCGAGCTCAAAGAAAGAAACTAAAGCCAAGCAAAAAAAGTAATAAAAAAACCCAGCCAAATGAGAATGCTTCCAAAGGGAATCGAACCCCAACGTAGCCACAGAGTCTTGCCGGTTATGACCCAGCTTGCTACTACCCCACCAACGAGCACTGTTAGGGATCTCTGCCCATGAACCAAGTGAACCATTGAAACTTTGCACATGAAGTCCAGCTCGACCCCAGCGGGCAGGCGGCTGAAGTAGCACAATCATCGAGTCGTGTACTGGTCTGAATCCAGTCGCCGCTCTTCCGAACTGCAGAGCTCGTCAAGAGCTCGTTCTTAGTTTTACTCCGAGTTCGGACCAGCTGCCAGTGGCGTTCCGGATGGCCAGCACTTGAACCGTGGCATGTCTCGAACCCGACAAAACATAAACAAAATGGTAACACAAGTTGCACAACATGTCATGATTTGAAGGGGAATCGAACCCCGGCGGTTAACCTACAAATGATGAGCACGACCATATAGGTAATGGAAATGGCATCAACCCGGGTTACCAGTACCCCACCAAAATCATACCCAATGTCGCAATTTCGTATATATAGGGGGGTATTCGTATTCATAATCAAGTACTTACCAGTGACCAAGCAAGTTGTTACTCATGCGATTAGGATGATTCGGACGCGGGCGGCTGCTTCGACTGAACCAAGTACAGGAACAGTTCAAGACAAGCAACTTTCAATGAAAGACATAGAATAAGGGCGCGACTGAGAGAGAGCGCAGCGAAGGTGGGTAGGCATGCCAGTTCGGTTGCACGTCACAGTCCACCATTTGAACCTATCAGGCGGTCGGTCAACCCGCGACTAAAAGATTCGTATAGCATTGGACAAGCCCGAGTCAGAGCGCAGGCAGCGCTGATGTCCATTCTTTCGCTAAAAGGTGAACCGCGGAAAAATGATATTGGCATCAACTTCGCTGTCAGAATCGACGCTGCCGGAACGCTTCGACTCCTCCAATATATAAAGCCGTAGGGCCGACGAGCGGCACAGCCCGCTACCGATGAGGAGTTTTATAGTATAACTTGCAAGAAAGTCAGATATCTATTAAAATATGTCTATACTACTGTCAACCGTGACTTAAAAGGATATGTTTGTGTGAAAATAATGGATTGTGCTGGACTTGTCTCTCCAACATCGGAAACTCTGTATACAGTTATTTTTCGTTGGCTGAGGTACCACTTGGGGCCTGTTCTGTCTGATCTTTTCTAAATGTCCCGAACGTTGTCTGCGAAGGGCGGCCTCTTGATTCTGCGTGTTCTGGGATCGTTTTCCACCTTGTTTTCCACGGTGTAAACGGAGGATGTGAGATTTCAGTTTGCGTCGTAGTGACCCAATTCGGTCATCTTTGTCATGCGGAATGTCCAGACTTTCCAAAACTCTTCGCATTGAGTTTAGGGACATCTTACTGACGTATATTGATTCTAGGATGTGAGTTTGGAGATCTAGATCAGCGGAGCTCATCTGCCGTTCAGTTAGAACATCGTCGCATCTTGGTACGTTCAACGCCATCAGAAACAGATGAGCCACAGTTCAGCGCTAAAGATGTGGGCCCGCATAACGTCTGGTGCCGCATCTGGTCCGTTTGCCCAAAGAGCTGCACACGGGAATGTGTGCGTGCATCCGCATGAAATTTCGGAACTCGCGAAAGTGCTTCCACGTCCAATGTCTACGCTGTATGACGAGATCTGTGTTATCTTCGTGTCTGATGACCGGGAAGCCACTGCAAACATCTTCGAGCGGACACCTCTTCTTGTTCGGCGTGGTCATATTCTTCGGGCACTCCAGTGGTTGAAGCATAACAACCCCCTGTACTCTGATGTCATCTTGGATCATGATGCTCTCAATGAGTACCCTGTAGATGGTCGTGTTCCCTTCCCTGGTCGCGGCGGCATGGGCGGTACATCTTGCGCATGGGAAAATTGACTACAGTCGCCAGAGGTAATATGCTGTGTTGTGGACTTACGGAGCCAGTTGGAGGTTGTGACCTTCGGGACTTGTATAATGTACAATGGAGGGCAGCAATGGATAAGAGAGCTGGTTTTTGATGAGATTCAAATGATTTAAAGAAGTGGGCAACAGAAGGAGCTGGCCGGCTATTGGTGTTACCAGAATGCGACGTGAAGTGTTATTAAAATTTTTCAAACTATGTGTTTAAGGACAGAACGGAGCTTGAAACGAAAATTTAGCTTCCCAAGAACAGTTATACCTAGTGCAGCAGCAACATGGGCAAGAGATTTTGTCGAAATTTGTTTCGAATCAGCTTCTATGACAGTTTTCAACACTGCCTGTGCGATGGCAGATGATGAATCAAAACCCTGCACAAACACTCGACAGGACGTTCGGTCAGGGCGTGGAGATGAATCAACATAATAATTTGCACAAGATCTAAATTGGTATGTGATATTCCACGAAGACTGAGAACACGTTGTATAGACGATAAATCGGCATGGAATACAGATATATGAGTACGTGTAACATGATAACTGGGAAAAACTTCACGAATCAAGGTCAGGCTGCGTGGAGCAGCGACGTGGGACAAGGGACACGGTGACGAGTTACATGATCACAAGGATAAACCCTGATGGTGGCACGAAGCCGACTCATCGTTGGGGTAAGCTGTATCGTCTATCAATGTGAGCAACGGCTGATGCAACAAGTTGACAACACACCAGATGGCACAGGATGATTGACATCCATGGAGGAGATATCTGGAGGGGGTAGTACAGCTGGCCAGTCTGCATAACATACAAAATGCAATTGAATGTGTGATGAAAGAAAAAAATACAGCTGGCCGGGTTGCATCGGGCCACTGGAGAGTAAGAACGTTGCATCTGGCATAGATTCTCTGCAAAGGAATAGCCAGTCCCGGCCGAGGACAATGTCGGAGGGCAGACCTGAGCACACAGTAAGAGTCATTTGCATTACAGCCAGCATGTTGGAGCAAGGGATGGCAAGAGGACTGGTACATTGACCTTGAAGAGCAGGAATGGTGGAAGAGAGCACTGAATCCAAGGAAATACGGGAGACGGGACACTCTGAGCCGAAGGAGGTGGAGAGCGGCACATTGAGGAACGTCGACATGGTGGGGCGGTGAAAGATTTTTTGGACAGCGCGGCAGTCAGTTTGGACGGCGTGGCAATCAGTTTGGACAGCGTGGCAGTCAGTTTGTATTAGCGGACGGAGATGCGGGTCTGATGAATCAGCTGGTATGACACACATCACAGCGAGCTACATCTGAAACGACAAACATGCGACCGGCAATGGCTGCGGCGCAATGCCGACGGTTGCCGTTGACAGCATTTCAATAGCAAATATGACGATGACGCGAGCTGATATGACATTTTAGTGATTTCTCGAAGATCACAAAAAATCGTGCACTCTAAGACCCGTACCTAAGGTAGCGGGAATTGCAACGCAGGGAAGCACACAGGCGTGCCAGGGCGGATGCAAGCCCCGGTCGGAGCGAGGAAGTTTCCGAGCCCATCCTCACCATGCGTCCTACTTGCAAATTTTATAGCAAGAAAAACAAAAGAAAAACATAGAATAATATGTGACGTCAAGGAAATACATCGCTGCAGAGACAACTCGCGTTTGTTTTGCGCAAAATTTTAGTATTTGACGTCTGACCAGCATTACTGTGATACCATTACTTGAACTTTCGAAATCGAAGAAAGAAAAAGGAGCGATGAACGACAACATGCCTCACAACGCAGGGAAGGACACAGGTAGTCTCTCGCAGCCAGACGCTACAACAAGTACTCCCTCGTACCTCGGTTTGTTGAAGTCTGTTAGTAAGCGCGGGGGTCTGATTGGGGTTCCGGCTTATTACCAATCTTTGTGGCAGTGCACTGGCAGTGTTCCTCCCACCACGCTCACTGTGCCAGCCGCCGACTGTGCTTTCGGTCCTGCCCGCCCCTGCCCTCGCCGCCGCATCATGGCGATGCACATCGCCCGCCCGCGCCTTTTTGCTTCCGGCGCCTGCCCCGCCTCCTCGTTGCTGTGCCGCCTCGCTGCTGTGGTCCGCCTCGCCGCCGCCGCCCGTTGCTGTCTCCGCCGCTTGACTTGATCCAACATGCCAGGCTTTCTCAATGACAACAAACCCTCTTTTCCGGTCCTCCCAACCCACTTACTCACGACGAACGAGCCCCCCTCTGACAAGGAAGAGGCCAAGATACTAGCTACAGCGCATGTTCACCTCGTCCAGAGTCTCGGGCCACGCAAGGTCCCACCTAAACAGCCCGACTGCGGCGCCCGCGAGCAGCACGCTCCCCAGCGCTGTCGTCTCGCGCACCTCCAGCCTCGCGACTGCGAACCGCGAGGACCTGCATTGCGACGTCGCCGTCCGTCATCCCACCATTGACCTTGAGGTGCCCGCGCGTCACATGCCATGCACTCGACAACCGCGCGCGCCTGGTACGCGCTCGCCTCGAGTGCCGCGTGTGGTTCGTCGCCCCGATCAGCAACCCGCTGCGCCGGGGTCCCAGCACGGCGCGAGCAGCCCGTTAAACACGGTGACAAAGTACATGCCGCCGGCGGTGGACATCGAGCCACCTGATGGCGCTCCTGGCAACGGCGA